AGGACTGGTGCTCCTGCACTAAATGTACAGCACACAGATGCTCTGTGTGTACAGCACTTCAGCCTGAAGTACAGGCATGACTGTGCCAACAAGATGAGAATGTGGTGCCAATCAAACTCACCTTTGTAGAATTTGATTGCCAGCTGATAAAGTTGTGGCAGTTTGAAGCCCCATTTTTCAGTGACAACAGCATTTTTGCTTTGACAAGCTGCACTCTCTCGGGACTGAACATCTCCAGCCCCCTCTCGTGCAGTGTTCCCAGCTGTCCCCATGGTGCAGCTTGGGCTAATGCCTGGGAAAGCAGCGGGGTGTGTTCTTTTTTGTTTCTTGATGGTGGAGCACTTTTTAGAATCATAATTTTAACATCATCAAAGCTACAGCATACAAAGCTAGTTTAGTATGCAGACATGGAAGATTATTTTTAACTGAGGCCAAATATAATGGCAATCCAACCATGTAATGGAATCCAAGTGGTAATGTTACTTTTTGTAAGTGGTTAATGTCACTCTTGTAAGCTTAAGTTCACCATCACCATGAGAGATCTTGTGAGGCTCATAAGAGCACCTTGGGCCTTAACTCATCAAAGTTGAGAAATTGTGACAACCATTTGCAAGAAGTGTTCATGCAGCTGGCATGCTCATTAGCCAACAACTTCTATACATGATGTAAACAAAAATGAGAGAAACAAGTTCCAAGATGACCTGAGCTTGACCCAGCCTGATTTTAGATACTGATCAATGCTAATCTTATGGCACAGTAGCAAAACACAAAACAAATTTTAAGAGATACTTAAGCTCATCAAAGATGTGATAGAACACATTACAATTATGTGATCAGACTTCTGGTGACTATTCAAAATTGTGATGATTTGACCAATGATTACCTTCCATCATTTCAAGATTGTGAAGCTGTCATGTGATGCATTTGTTAAGCTGATGGGAATAATAAACTCATGGAGTGCAAAATGTTCTGACCACCAAAAGTGGAAGCATGCTTAAATTACTATTACAATAGAAGTATGCTTCAATTATTAACACAATTAGGACACAGCCAAGTCATGTAGTTTTTTTCTTGACAGGCTCACCAATAGTTTCTGCCTACATAGTAGCAGGACCCTGTACTTAGCATGTCAAAGCAAGGACCGGTGATGTGAAACTGGCTGTGTTCCACTTCCTTTGCTCGCAAAAAGGAAGTACAAGGTACTTTCCACCCAAACTTTACTTGTTTCCGGATATCAAAAATAAGGGCTCCAACCATACGATTTTCCTGAAAACTTGACATCTTATTCAAAGTATACTGTTTCGAACATTTATTCATTTGTTCCGCCTAAACCGTGAAATTCTCATATGCACTCATATATCCGTAATACCAGCGCCCGCCGCCCGTCCCAGGGCCGCCCAACCAAGGCGTCCGTGCTTAGCAGTACGGATGCGTGTTTAACAATTGCGGCGTGTTTCTCAACTAGCTGTAGCTCGTCCACACACGAGCCAGCTGATGATGACGTTAGCCGTCCGCCGATTGAACTGGGTTTCCTGCTCGAGAAAGCGTTGTCTCAGCAGTAACTCGCAATCAAAGGAAAATTGGGATGCCAAATAGTGTAGGCTTTCCACTGCTAGCAAACGAAACGAAATTCATGAGATTCACCTCTAAATAGCCTCATTTCCCCTGCTGAGCCTTGGGTTACCGGACTGCGTTGTTCAGTGTCTGTGCGCGCTAAACTCCGCCAGTTTTTGCACGAATCGGTACTAAGCGCGGTCCCCCCCCCCCCCCCCCCCCCCGGTACTAAACACGGATGCAAGGATATCTATGTTACTAAAGGAACAGTGTGTGGGTGTCCACCATTTGAGTTAGATGATCTGCAGACGGTCAGGAAGTTTTCCATGAAATTTGCACAGGACCAAGGCTCGCTTGCGGCGCGTGACAGAGTTGCGTCAAAATTCTGCATTTCGCAAAAATGAGCCGGTGCTGAGCGAAACAGGAGCGCAAAAATCCCCGCAAGTTTAACACGGGCGACGCCAATTTAACGATTCCGGTCGACGGCCCTACACACTTCGCTTTCTGGAGCCGTATTTTGACAATCAAGGGTCGCAACGACATGCAACTTGCACAGTACGATAGAGCAGGGAATGGGCCATCGTAATCTGGCCATTTTTTCCGCCACGTGACACCTGGCGCGTGCACACGTATTGACAAGATGAAATCGGCCGTTTTTGACGCGGTTTTAGTTTACCGTTATATCACGGCACGGAAAGATGGTAGAGCTCTTAATTTTGTTTCCTAACATTAACAATTTTCAGCGCGCAACGCGAGTTTGTGCAACGCACCGTTGCGCTGCAAATTGCATTACAAGTTGCAACGGGCCGACTTTTCAAAACTAAAGCTGAATTCAAGCCGCTACCGTCAAAATTATGCGTGATCTAGCGTTGAAAACTACATCAGCGTGTCGGCCGATTCGCCCCGTTTCTGATTCACTCTTTTGTTGACCGCGTTAAAAAAATGTCGCTCGCAAATGGGCCTAGAGTAAGAAGTTCCTGACGGCATTTCCGCCACGACGGCGTCAATTTACTGCCTCGACTCCCGGCGTAGGCCATAGGCGTTAAGGGTTAAATTGGACGTTCGCGCGGCGGGCTTTCGACTTTGTTCATTTAGCCACGCTTCAGATTAACACGCGCCCGGGTGGCCGGCTATATACCCTTCGCTCGGGTGGGGGTGAGGGGCCAATTCCCCCCCCCCTTTAGATCTCGGGAACTAAAGAAGCTACAGACACCAAATTCACAGGGCGTGTTGACCTGTACGTGAACTCCCTTAGGTCAAAGTTTCAGGTCCTTGCGTCATGACATTCGGGTCAAAAAGGTCAAACAAGGTCAAGTTACAGATTGACCTCCAGAGTGCTCCCAGAACCTAGATAACCGTTTCTAAGCCAAAATTCACATGCTCATGCAAGGTCAGTGACCTTGTTTGACCTTTTTAAGGTCAAGGTAACCAAACTCATGCAAGATTGCTTTGTGTTTTGAATTTGACTAAGCGACAAAGATAACGCTGGGCAGTATGTTCCTAAAACAAAACGTTGAGATGGGTCATTTTAGGTCAATAACCTATTATGACCTCTAAGAAGTCCATGGAACACGTATAATGCGGTTCCTGCTATTAATCAATTTGAAATGAGCACCAGAAACTGTCCGATACAGCAAGCCCTAGAGAAGCAAAACAGGGTGGTTTTGACCTTGGTGTGACCTTTATACCTGACCTTATGTCAATGTAATTTGCTCATTCAACTGTAATGTTTCCTAAGAAAGCATCTCAAAGACGTATGGCTTCGTCTAACGCTCCGCTGTTAGATCAGATGAAGAATCCCCTAGAAATTGCCTTCGCTGAAACCATGGCCTGATTTTGACCTGTCATAGGTCAATGACCTTACAAGATACACCTAATTTTTATGTCAAACGATCCGCTATTCAATTGTCCACAGATATGCAAAATTTGGCGCGGCTGCGCCGCGCCGTTTGGAAACCATTCCGGAAACACCTTCGGGGTGGGGGCAAGTTGAGCCCCACGCCCGAGCGCATGTTAAAGAACGAGCACCCAGGCGTGTTTCCAGTCTGTCCTGCAGTGGGCCTCTGTCCTAGGGCCTTGAGTGGGGCGGTGGGCGGGTCGTCGATAGGGGCGATCTCGGCTTAGACAAGGCGGCCGGCAGCGCGCAGTGCCTTGTGGTCGCCGTGCGCGCACAGGCGTGGCTCTTGTTTCCCAACATTTACCATCGACGCGGGTACACTTTCAGGCGCATCGCGAGTTTCTGCAACGCGCCGTTGTGCCGCAAATTACACGACAATTTGTAAGATGCCAAGTTTTAATAACAGAAATGGTACGGCCACACGTATGACACGGCACGGGATCACACATATGGATTTTGCTCTCCTCCACGGATTTGCATCTTTTGTGCCAAAATTCGGCACATATAGCACTAATACACCCGGGATTGGCGTGCTTCAATTATGAATGGGAGAAACGAGATGACAATGTTTGGTGGCACGTGCCACATGTGAGGGCGCCCATGTATTAAAGTATTGATATGCACAATTTTGGTCTTTTGAGGGGCTTGCACGTTTTCATGATATCTCAGAAACCAGAGAATAAAGCGCACAGCGACTGGCATGCTTCGATAGGTGATCTAACGGACAATCACTGAAACATATACGACGTCACACTGCACGTGTAATGTGACATGCGCACATTAGCTGTGAAACTGCATTTTGCCGATTTCGTCCATTTTTACGCTTTGCGCAGGTATCCCGCTCTTATGACACGAAGCAGCACGAGACTCTCAGCACACAGAGCACGGAGGTACTGGGGAGTGGCATGCATTTATAAGAAATCGAATAGATGATGGCGTTGTATAAAGTGGCACATCGCACGCGCTGCATGGATAGATAGGGAATCGAGCAAACAATCACGTGGTATAGATTGTAGCGCCACGTATGCGCGAGCCAGGAAAATTGATTTGGCCGCTACCGACCGTTTTTCGCTCTTCAGTACCATGCAATACTTTTTGATACAACGGCACTGCGTGCTGCCATCGTTCAGAAGACTGACAGTTGATGAAAGGGACAAAAAAGCACCGGCCACACCACCACGATCGTTCGCTCATACCATGGAATAGGTTCGACTGTGATGCGGATAGCGCAGGCGAAATGCGCTCACTCCTGCCGGCAGCCGCCAGAGGCCGCCAGCACCGCGCGCGGCCTGCGGCCGAGTCTTTTTCCACATTTTACGCGATATCTCGTCAACCTGGGCACCTAGAACTGTGATTCCAACTGCTAAAGATACATTATGAAAATTTCCAAATTTTGCACCAGCGCAGCGAGGCAAGCGCGCAGGCGCTTGTACGTACTAACTAGACTCGAGGACGCGTTGGTCGCGGTTGAGCTTCCGTGGAGGTGGGATGGGGCAGCGCATTTGATGACGTCACCAATCAAGGAATGCGTCACTTCTATAAGCCGGTTTAATGTAATAGTTACCTACCCTTAAGCCGGAAGTAAATTTCCTCCCACGGGGGTGACTAGGTCCGTCGAGGAAAAAAGGAGGCCTTGCATTGGCACCATGATTGGGACATAGAAAAGGACGCATCACAAAAAGTGATATTAGGCATTTGTGATGGGCGTTAAGGTGGTGTGTGGGTCCATCTCTGAAACACGAGAATTCGATAGTGGTTTCAGCCTGCAACTTCCAGGATGTCTGCTCGCACTGCCCTCAGCGGTGTTTAGCAGTTGATGAATAAGCAGTGACTCGTTTTTGCGCCCGTTTCTTCAACACCTGTTGCCTGGTTACCAAGGCCTCAAAGAGTCAAGATGATGATGTATAAGCTTCTGGATGAAGTTGAGCAGGTAAGAGGGTGAGCATTTGTTCATTCTGCTGAGGAACAGCTAACTAAGCTCAGATTTTGCCAGGGCTTGTGCCTCTAGATAAAATTGTGCCTATCATACTCTGTTTGAAGGCTGCAAAGTTTATGATTAAAGTTCTGGATTTTTTATGACTGAATTATGCAGAAGTCATTAGCCTGCCACTAGTACTGTGTTTAGGTGCACATGATCAAAAATCAGTCATTTTGAACCAGCTCACAAACTGGCCATGGTGCTTTGCATGGAGCATGGTGCTATGCAGGTTATAAGGTGAATTCATAATAAATGCTTTTTGTCAGTGCACACAGCAAAGTTATGACAGGATGCATCACAGGATATTTGACAAAATGTCACTCATACAATATCTGTATGTGCAGGAGTCTTTCAGTGCTGATGATTTTGTGGAAAGACTGGCTTGGAGGGCAAGTGGTGGAAATCTTTCCACTAAGACAGACAATGAAGACTTCAATCCCCAGATCATCCATGATGCCTTTTCATCTGCCATCAGGTGAGGAAAAATTGATTTTGTTTGTGCATTATGTATATCAGGTGATCCCAAAATTGTGTTGTGCATTAGGTATTTTATTACTCAAACAACCATGGATATGAGAACCATTATATGCATGCACATCTAAATGTGGCATAGTGCAGTTTATTGATGTTTTCAGGCAGCTGACAGATATACAGAGGAAACAGCAAAGGGAGTGTGATCAGTTGGAAGCTAAGCTGAAAGATGAAGAGGCCAGATATGCCCAGAGAGTTCACAAGCTGATGGATAGAAACAAGGTGAGTCTGAAGAACCAGGAGTGACATGACCACCACCTATAATGCAACTTTCAGTATTGGGGAATTTTCACATCTTAGACTGTGGATGTCCACATGCTGAGTGCAGGGATAAATGCAGCTGCAAGTGGCATATTAATTTCATCCCATCCTTACAGAGCAGCTGGTTAGAGCACCTGCCTTCTGGTCCATCCACCCATGGTGCAATGAGTTTGAGTCACATGATTTACTCACTGTTTGTACCTGACTGAGATGGCCCACAGCTGGTGGGAGTGACCATGCAGATGGCCAGGTGATGTCAGGGCACAGAACATCAAGCATCATAGCTCAAAGTTGTGACACCAAGTTTTACTGTTGACCTTGAATTTTGCAATCCGGCAGGAGGGGTGGGGGCTTACACAACAAGTGCTGCTCAGTGTAAGCTCTGATCCCAGAAAGATCATGAAATGTTTTGGATGAAATCTTTCTTAAAGTATGCACACTTAATGACAGTATTGAAAAAAAAACAATGAAAGGACATGCTGTTCTTGGGAAATGTGTAAGATTTTGTGGTATGACAAGTTCACTTTGTATTTCACTCAGGGTAATCAAGAGCTTGGTATCTCAATCAGCCACCACTTTGTGCATTAAATATGTACCAAGCACACTATATCTTTTGGTTTCTTTCACTGGCCTGAGCACAAGTACTTGCCATCACACATCCAAACCACATCCCACTTTGTACTGTTGAAAGATTTTGTCTTTCAATTTCAGGATGATTTCAGCATCCTGCACCAGCTGGATGAGAAGATCAGTTTTGTGGCAACCAAGGTGGTGCACCTGGGCGACCAGTTGGAGAGCGTCAACACACCCCGCTCCCGCGACGAGCGTGCCCTCCAGCTCATGCAGCACCTGAACCGGTTCATTGACGCCGAGGCGCCCACCGACCCCCTCTTCGACGACGACGAACAGGTCAGGAGGCTGCCCTGTGGGTGTGCTTCACCTGGTATGCCATGTCAGAGTGAACATCAGCTACACTTTACCTGCTGTGAGTGAACATGTGTGTATGGTGTGTGACTTCGATTTACAGAGCGTGAATGTACGTGAGGATGTGTTCAGTAAATGTTCAACCGTCATGTTTCTGTTGCTGCAGATATTCGAGGCTGCCGACGTGATACAGAAGCTTTATCTCATATCGCAGGAGCTGCCATCGGGAAAGTAAGTTTCTTTCAAATGTGCGACGTCGCTCACGTGCTGGTTGTCTGCCATCGCATCAGGCGGGATGAAAGTACGGAGTGGACATCACGGCCACGCTAGAACTGGACTTGACTGGCCGTGTGGGACTGCCTGGCATCTGCTGGCCCATGCCCGCCCGCCGGTCGGCCACGGACCGGGTGACCCCGCCCCGCCGCGGGATGCGCCTGACCCGGTGTCGACGCCAGGTTCGAGGGCGCCCGCCCGCCGGTCGGTCACGGACCGGGTGACCCCGCCCCGCCGCGGGATGCGCCTGACCCGGTGTCGACGCCAGGTTCGAGGGCGCCCGCCCGCCGGTCGGTCACGGACCGGGTGACCCCGCCCCGCCGCGGGATGCGCCTGACCCGGTGTCGACGCCAGGTTTGAGGGCGCCCGGACTCGGATCGGCCAGAAGTACGACGGCGTCGAGCGGCGTCTGATCGAGCGGTTCGTGGCGGCTCAGAAACGAGGACGATCGCGACGCCATGAAAGAAGTGGCCTCTGTGCTGTCACAGTTCAAGGGCTACTCGCAGTGCGTGGACGCCTTCATAGAGCAGAGCCAGCAGGTGAGTGTTCAGGGGACATTGGGGCGCTGCACACTGGCCCAGCGTGTATTGTGAGAGGGCTCCAACGCAGCTCCACTGTTCAGTGAAGGACTGGCGATGGCCACTATGTCATCAACAATGGCGGAAGCAATTGGCATTACGTAACACGCCCGCACGCACGTTTGCGCACGTCTTCGGTTTTACCGTCTGTTGTGCATGTTTGTTGTCCACAATCTGATACTGATCGCAAACTGGCCAGGGGGACGTGAAATGTTCCGCCTGCCGTGCATGCAGCCATCCTCGCTGTAGAACAGGTTGGCGCCCCCTGGATGTCCGCGTGGCGCTGTAGAACAGGTTGGCGCCCCCTGGATTCCCGTGTGAGACCGTTGACCGAGCGGCCGCCGCTTTCAGGGTGCGTTCGTCAGCCGCGACATATTCCGCGAGATCGTGCCGGTATGTGAAAGGAACGAGCCTATCATCCACTACGTGTTCCACAACCCAGCCCAGGTGATGGGCCGCTTCGTGCTGATCATCTTCCACGGCCGGCTGCAGGAGCACCTGCACCAGGTATGGCCTCCCGTCGGGTCGTCACTAGTTGCCTCGTGGTGGGACCAGCGTCAGCTCTATCAGGGCATCTGATGCTGCGCTCAGTCGTCTCGGCGATTAGATCTGGGTGTATTCAAGCAGCAAAACGCCGGGTGCGTGTACAGACGATTATCCGAAGTCGTAGGGCTGCGATGTTGTGTTTGGAAAGCGCCCGATCAACGTCAAGCGTTGCCTGGCAGTGGTCCTGTGTACCGTGCGCTGGCTTACCCGCTCGCCGCTCCGCTTTAACCCCGCTCTGCGAGCCGTGACACCGTCCTGTCCTGGGCTCGCTTGTCCGCTCGCCACTCCGCTTTATCTCCGCTCTGCGGGCCGTGACGCCGTCCTGTCCTTGGCTCGCTTATCCGCTCGCCGCTCCGCTTTAACTCTGCTCTGCGAGCCGTGACGCCGTCCTGTCCTGGGCTCGCTTGTCCGCTCGCCGCTCCGCTTTAACTCCGCTCCGCGAGCCGTGGCACCGTCCTGTCCTTGGCCCCCTTGTCCGCTCGCCGCTCCGCTTTAACTCCGCTCTGCGAGCCGTGACACCGCCCTGTCTCGGCTATGTCATGGCCTCGCGGAATCTGTGGCAGACCCTGGCTGACCAGTCGAACCGGTGCCGCTACCTGGACCAGCTGTGCGACCTGTACTCGCGCACGCAGCACCTCACCAAACAGCTGGCCAAGTTCAACATGGGACACGACAGCTCCTTTCTCAACAAGCTGGCCAAAAAACTCTTCCAGGAGTACATCAGCAGCTACATCAGGTGCGTTGCATGCCTGGATGCATTTAGCTAGGACATTACGAGCGCTGTACGTTTGCCTATTTTCCCCTGAGTTGTGCTTTGGAACCGTGGAAGACACCAGTCTTCCTGTGGATACGAACGCTGTCTTTTGTGTGAGATAATTCGTCGGGCACTGGCTGGCAGACGACCTGCGTAACCGTCATCTGGTCAGTGGAGCTGACCAGCCTGTGATGTCTGTCAGTGGTGGCGTCGCTCGTTAAGCCCTTTCCCGTCGTGTGAACTTGCCGTCCGTAACTGGCCAGTCCTGCCCTGACACCGTCCTGTCCTGTATAGCCGTGCTCGAAAACAACGACCCGAATGCCGAGAAAGTGTGTCATCTTTGAGAGAGGCCGTGATGTTACAACATCGTTGCGACCGCGCCTTGGCGGCCCATGGCCCATATATATACTCAAGGCAATGACCTGAAGCCAGCCACCCCGAAGAGCTCACGCCGTTCCGCTCATGGGATGCCCTCACACCCGACCCGCGGGCGGTCGCCCTGTGGGAGCCGGGCGGCGCGCTCTCGGAGCCGCGTCACCGCTTCCCCGCCCGGTGCCGGCAGCGTAGAGGTGAAGCAGCTGCGCCAGTGCTGCGCCGACACGCTGGACGAGTACTACACGTCGCAGGGTCACCAGAAGCGCCACCTGTACGGCGGGCTGGGGGAGCTGCGCAGAGAGGCGGCCGCCGTGCTCGGCACAAAGACCAGCATCAACATCGCAGCCGTCGACGACCACGGCGGCCGCACGTTCCTCTCGGAGGAGACCGCCATCAACCTGCTGCAGGTGTGGCTGGCGCCGGGGACGGGCGCGCCGGTGCCGGCCGTCGCCGCGTCTCTGGGCGGTAACGGCGCAGCGCGCGGCTGGCGCGGTCCGGGCTCAGGTTTACCGTGATACAATATGGTGACCGGCCGCGGCACCCCGTCTCACGCGTCGGAACCGTACCAGCCACGCGTGTCGCGGCGTATTCGCAAGACAGAGGACGACACGGACGAGGCCGGGCGCCGGCACTGCCCAGTGCAGTGACACAGCTGATGCGGGGCGCCAGCGCTCCTCTCAGTCGGCCAGCTGCGAGCGTGTCGAGTCGTCGGACTGGTACGTCACAACGCCGGTCGGCAGCAGACCCATGGCTGCGACGTCCAGACCTGGCTCGCAGCGCGTCGGAGGATGCCGCGGTCCTGGCGGCGTGCCTGTCGTGCGGCCCGTTGTCGATGATGAGGCGTGGCTGGGCCTGACCCGGGCCCGGCCCAGCCCGCCAGCCGGCTCACTGTGTCGCATGTCTGACCAGACGCTACGCCCTCTCGCTAGGAGGCGAAGCGGGCGTTCAAGCGGTGCCAGGTGCTGTCGCGGCCGCAGGAGCTGGCTCAGAACGCGCTGCAGCTGTTTGACATCCTCGCCAGCAGCCTGCTGGTGGAACACATCGACTACGGCATCGAGCTGGCGCTGCAGGTATGGACACGGCGTGCCGCCGCCTGCCGCCCGCAGTGCCGTTCGGGCGCACACCGGCCTGCAACCGACGTTGCGACCGGCGTTTTTACTTGCTGGAGAATCAGGACGTAAGACCTTCCAACGAGCTCAAGCAAACTAAACCATTCCTGTGCTTTGAGTCAAGAATTCGTTGGCGAAGTCGGTAATTGGTTTAGTAAGTTCAGCAATGTCACGTATTACCGGACACAACATGACATGCCGAATGACGGCGTGTCTCTGCGCCGCCCTGTCTTCACGTGCTGTCAGAGTCTGCACCTCCCTGGCCTGGCCTGGCGTCCCGGCCACGCCCAATGACGCGTCGCTCCCGCCCCGATCACCAGGCGGTGCCGGTGAACGAGCCGCGTGCGGAGCCGCAGCTCTACTTCTATGACGTAGTGCGTCAGACCAACGGCGTGGTCCACCTGCTGGAGAAGCAGTACGCCGACTCGCTGCTGCCGCTGGTGGTCGGCTCCAGGTGAGGCTGACGCGTTGGCGGCTGGCTGATGGCTGATACGATACCCTTCTGATGGCTGATACGACGGGTTGGGGGCGGCATATTTTTGGTGCCTAGTCAGTTTCGAGTCGTAGTATTTTAATGAACATTGCAAAACCGGGCGTGTTTGGCTGTGCCCCATGCCTGCCAGCGACGAGTTCTGTAACTGGCCATTTCCCGTGCATGGCTGGTGAGCAAGCCCACCCACGATCGACCGCTGCCGGTGCGTTCGCCGGTGAGACCTGCGATATGTGTCTGTGATTTACCAGCTGCCAGGCGGAGGCGGCCTCGAGGAGGCGCGCGCTGCTGTCGGGTGTGCAGACCAAGCTGGACCTGGGCCTGGACCGTACGCTATCGGCTGCCTGCGCCTGGGTGCGTGTCATCCTGCAAACCGAACAGAAGAAGGCCGACTTCCGACCCGACACCGAGGAGGTGGTGCTGGCCTCGGCCACTCAGGTACCGGTACCGTACCGCGCGGGGTACACACAGCACAGGCCGTGATGGCCCGGTCGCTCGCGCACCGGCACGGTGCCGCGTGAGTCACACACGGGAGGGGGGTGGGGTGGTGCTGGTGTCGTCGACACAAGGGGGACTGGTGCTGGCCCAGACCTCTCGGATGTCGGTACCATACCGTGCAGCGTACTCACGGGAGGGTCATGTACCGCACAGGTACGACTGATGTTTGGCAGTTGACGCTTCCCAGAGCCTGTGATGTGCGTGGCTCTTCCACTGCTCAGGAAGCTAGGGTCTGCTTTTTACGGTATGGTTGGGCTATCGCCTCTGGTTTGAATGCGTGCGACCTGCACTCAGCGATCAGATTATGTGAAAGGCGTCATCGCACAGTCATGCTATGGTGCTGTGCAATTCTAGTGTTGGCTGCGGTCTTTCTGAGTAAATGGCTGTTTGCCCTGGGTTGCGTGATCGTGGCATACTGCTGCCCAATAATCGCAAATTGTTTATTGGAATGGCTCATACTAGCCACTCATTTCCGGCGGTGCCCTATCAGGAAAGCAAACGTACGCAATAGCATTGACCCGCCCCTGTGCTGCCTGCTGATGTCGTCCGCGTCGCTGCGGAGGGCGGGCGGCCGTCTCACCACGCTTGTCCTCCCCTTCCCCGCAGGCGTGCCGCAAGGTGGTTCGCTTCATCAGCAGCCAGGCGGCGCGCATCAAGGACTCGTGCGACGGCAAGAACGTGGACGCCGTGCTGACGGAACTCGGCGAACGGCTGCACCGCACCGTACTGGAGCATCTGCTGCAGTTCCAGTACAACACCACAGGTCAGTGGGCCGCGCCCACCGGCAGCCCCGGTGTCGTGCTCTGCCCAACTGGCGCCGGGCCTATGACGGCGCCGGGTCCCGTCTGTCGGCGAGGCTCGAGGATAGACTGACGCATTGTCGTCTGGCTGCTGGTCCGTGTGTTCTTTGATGCGTTTTGTACACGGCGGTTTGTGACAGCTAATGCCCATGAAATGGGAACATGACATTTGGTAATTTCTCTGATTTCGTTCAACAGAATAATAGTACTATTTTGATGGGATACTTCATCGCCCTTTAGTCCAAATGCATGCATATTGATTGACGTGCAGATCAACAGGCAGTGAAGAGTCGATATGCACGTGCAACGTGTCGGAGCCTTCGGCAAACGTGACGTATTTACATTGTTTGGAAAGTTCGATGTGCAGGTGGTACGAGGCAGTGTGCGCGGATAGCTCTATACGGCGGTGGCCTGTTCCCACCCAGAACTGCACTGATAGGCATTGTCCTCAATCGGTCGCACCTGCTCCCTCAGTCCTGTTGTTCCTTCGGGCCGTGGCTGGGATCCACAGTGGGCAGTTCGGTTGCCAACACTTGCTCCTCGGTGGCCCCTCCCTGTGAGCGGTCTGAGCCCATCGTGTGGGCCGGTGTGGGGGCGACAGTGCATTCTCGATGCCGGACGGCGCCGATCCTCTCCTGTCCGGGTCGTCGGCGGGAGGCCGCGGCCGCGAGCTTGGCCTGCTCAGACCGCCGCCGCCGCCGTGTGATGACGCGCTCGTGCGGTGACGCGCCGGCCGCCGTCTCAGGCGCGATGGCTGCCATCTGTGACGTGAACGAGTACCGCAAGTGCGTCGAGTCCTGGAGGATCGCCTCCGTCACGGCCCTCTTCGAGACGCTGCACTCGCTCTGCAACCTGCTGCTGGTGCTGCCCGACAACCTGCGCCAGGTCTGCTCGCAAGGGTCGCTGGTGAGTGACAGCTGCTGACGGGCGGCCTTCTTACACGATAGCGGATCTTAATGGCGGCGCGGATGTTGGGAAGTTGGCCGCTCATTTTCACCGGATGCCCTCTGTTGCGGCTCGTTTCGGTTATCGGACTTATTCGCCAGATTTGCACCTTGCACGACCGTTCACGTGTGGACCTGATCACATTAGGGCTATATGTCAGTACCGCATGCGCCTATCATTCGTTAAGACTGGATCAGGTTCAGACAGTGTCTGTGTGGACTTAAGCGCCAGCCGATGTCCGTCCTGTCGTCATTGAGTTTTCTATTACCTGCACATGATCAGTATATTCCTTTGTAATGTTGTGTTGAAGTAACACGTCTGTTTGTGGTCGCAGGCTGGCTTGGATCGCGCGGTCCTGATGAACTTTATCCAGCTACGCGCCGACTACAAGACCTCCAAGCTGGCGCTGCAGCTCCGCTGGTAGTGCTCGCCCCCCCCCCCCCCCCCCGACGCGTGCGCCGCCTCGCCGTCTGGCTGGTGTGGCGGTCTTTTGTGAAGACCGTCGCGCCCCGGGACCCCGACCCGGATCTTCCAGCACCAGTGACGGCACCCATCCCGCGGCGGCGGTCGAGGTCCGCTCTGCGCCGTGTAGGTGTAGGCGAAGGTGAACGTCCCCGCTGTGTGCGACGCCACCGGAGACGCCGGGCGGCCCCAGTCGGTGGAGAAGTCGCCTCTGCGGCTGCACGCGGCGTGTGGCGCCCTGTCCACGAGCGGCGCCCTCGGTGACGGCGGGCACCCCGCCGGCGACGCGCGTGTGCCCGTGGCCGTTCCGCTGTTGGTGCCCGCTGATGTCGCCGTGCTGTTTGTCCGAGCGAGAGTCACCGGGAGTCATCGGTATCTGAACCAAGTCCGAGTTCATCGTCGGTCTTAAGAAGGGAGCTGTTCCTGGAATATGTCGAACGGCTTCTGCCGATGTGTGCCGCTTTGTGCGCGTATTTATGAATGCATTCGCGGGCTGAAGGGCAAGGTTCACAGATGGCTGACCTCGGAGTGTGGTCGTTGGCTGGCGCCGGTTGGATCGTTGTCTTGCTTACGCGTGTCTCTTTACGTGCTGCATATCTTTATGGCGATTCGTGTGCTATCGCATGTTGTTTCTGTTCAGAATAGCATTCGTTTTTGATATTGTACCTCTATCGCTGGAGTAAAATGTGTATCGATGTCCCTTCAGAGCTGTTATCAATATATAAAAAGGAATTGCTGAGGCTAAAAATCGTTTGCCGGACCCAGCGAAAGTCAGTATGCACCGGCATGATTTGGTCAAGCGAAGGCATGATTTGCTTCTGGCGCCAGATCTGCCGCCGCTGCCTGTCTCTATCTGAGTGAGTGCGCCGCTTCGCAGTATGAATTGCCGGGGAGCTTGTGGGGTGTTCAAAGGTCTTGTCGGTACTTAGACAAGCCTCAACTTGTTTTAAGGAGAACTTCAACGGTTAAAACTGACTGGTCCCTCTCGTGCATTTCCAGCCCATTGCACGAATATTGCATAGCTCTGAGCAATGTTAACCTCATTCAGGTTTATTTCCTGCGCTGTGTGGAGGGGCCGTGAATGAATATCTACCGAGTATTCCAGCAAGCGCTTCTAACTGCGGAGCGCAGTAGCGGGTCGAAGGGAAGGACGGCGGGCTCGTCACCAGCGCTGCCAAGTTGTGTTGTGTTAGACGGCGCTCTTTCCGCATGTTCGCCGAATGACGGCGTTGGGATCCCGCCCTAAGAGCGAGCCAAGAGGACCCGACGACCAAAGAAGTAGGGATCATCGCCTGAAGCCGACCTGTTTCGAACCCTCGGCTGTGGAGTGCCTCAGAGTGACGCTGTCTCGCGCACAGCTCAACCTCCTGGTGCACACGCAGCCCTGCGTGAATACGCTTCGGAGGCTGAGACGGCGGCGGAGCGGCTGAATACCACCAAGGCTCCGACATGCCTTTGCTTGTTGTCGGTTTCCGCTGCCAGTTTCCGACAGGACGACATTCGATCAGGACGACATTCGTCTGCTTGTTAGTTCGAATGGTTGCTGAGATGGTTATAGGGAAATGCATATTATAGGCAAAGCTATTGGTACCTGCACAAACGTGCGTGATTTTTACCCAGTGTCGCTTTTAAGTTTGTTTTCTCAATGGAATCGCAGACTGACGACTCGTTTTGGTGTTTTGTCGACGCTGCTACTGCCCACCTGAAGCGCTGTGCATGAAGATAGGGCGTACCCACGAAGCCGCGGCCCGCGGCAACCCGTGGTCCAGTGTGAGAAGAGTAAGATGGGGCGTACCCACGAAGCCGCGGCCCGCGGCAACCGTGGTCCAGTGTGAGAAGAGTAAGATGGGTCGTGCCCACGAGACCGTGGTCCGCGGCGATTCGTGGTTCAGTGTGAGAAGAGTAAGGTGGGGCATACCCACGAGGCCGTGGCCCGTGGCGACCCGTGGTTCATTGTGAGAAGAGTAAGATCGGACGCGGGATTCGTAGTCATGTTTAAGGCTCCAGATTATGAAAAAGAGACGGCAGTCAATTATCGCTGTGCATCTGATCACCTGTATTGTTATCGCAGTTGTTATGATCGTGCCGGGGACTGTTGACGCACTAGATGAACGTGTCAGCCTCTTTCAAGCGATTTGGATGCTGGTGTGCAGTTGCCACGGTTCATGGGTGTCACGCTTCTACTCCTGTAACCAGGGGCATGGGTATGAGCTTTAGGACTTGACTGAGTCCAGGTCCTGGTGTCGCGAGCCTGAGTTAAGGTCTCGAGTCCACCTTAGATTGCGTGAACCGAGTGCGAGTTTGGACATTCGCTCGGCTCATAATACGAGTCCGAGTCCATGGCTGTTTAATCCAATGCTGTCAGTTTAGAAGTCGAGTCAAAGTATGATTCCGTGTCTGAATGCTGAGGTCTTCAGCAGTCAGAAGCCTAATTTTGCTGTGTGATCAAACAACGCAGAGATATTGGGTAAAGCACAGATTGGTATCAAACACGATCTTACCAGAAATAGAACACGCGCAGCGAAGTGTCGTGCCAGATTATCGGGGTAGAAATTGCCAAGGACACAAATGAAAACGAGGCTAAATTAAGTGTAGGGCGATCTCACTTTACTCGAGCTGACTAGGCTTCGAACCGCAGCTTCTCGATGTCTCGCCGAGCCAGCATCTGCAATGTCCGTGAAGTTAGCGATTTATTCAGCGATTTTTTTCAGCGACGAGTTCCGATTTCCCTGAAAAAGGGTGTTGAGGTCAGTCGTGGCATGAAAACACCAAAGATGGCTCTTACTTTGCAATGACATGTGACCTTGAAGGACAAAAGCTGGGTCAAAGGACAGGGAACTCGACATCACCCAAAAACCACTGGCCGATATGAGAACTGTGAGCATCAAAATATTCACAAGCGCAAGAGCTGGCGTCCGTCAAAAAGTTTTAGCCTCTCAAGGTCACCCTTCAAGGTCAAAGACGGGCTCAAGGGACGGGAAACTCCATATCACCCAAAAATTACCGGCCGATTTTTAACTTACAAGCATCAGAATATTAACCACAGAAAGAACTAGCGTCTGTCAAAAAGTCCTGACCATTCAAGGTCATCCTTCAGGGCCAAACGTGAGCTCAGAGGACGAGGAGCTCCATATCATCCAAAGATCACCGGTCAATTTAAGCTTGCATGCATCATGATATTCACTACAGAAACATGTAGTGTCCGTCAAAAAGTCCTGGCCTCTCGAGGTCATTCTTCAAGGTCTAGCGCAGCTCAAAGG